AAATGTAAAAACACTGCTTATTCGAGCATTTTTTTCAATTTTGAAATAAAATATTTGGATGTTGGGTAAGTAGTCTTTTCTGTACAGTAAAATGCACATTTTTCTAGCACCTCAATTAGAATTTGAGCTCTTCTTTGGTCAAAATAATATAAAACAAAATATTATATGTAGTGTTAAATTGATTTTTATTCACAATTCAAGATTTTTTTCCTTTTTAAATTACAAAATAGTCTTAGCTCTTTCATTTCCAACAACATCAAATTAATTGGGAGTATTATTATTTAAATGTAATATCACTAATACGAGTCAACGGTATTTCCATTATTTTTATGGCATTTCGAGGGCGAACCTAAACCTAATTTCATCAGTGAATGGAGAGGAGAGTATTGTTTTCTATCACAAAACTAGACTTGATTAACTAAGTTTCTGATGTACGATAGGACCGAGTTGTGGTTGAGGATGGCCATGTGATCGACCTTGGATAAGGCAGTGGCGAAGACCTTCTGCTGCTGCAGCTTCGTCCAATGCGTGCATCCTTCCAAAGATCTCCTGTTCACCGTACCATCACCGTCACCATTAACCAACGTCGGATTTCCGTCCAGCCAAGTTCCAGGTTTATAATACAACCTGAAACGTTACCAAAATTATCATCGGCGAGAGATGCGACATCAATTTATCGTTACTTTTCAACTGTGTCGACGTCCGTTCCGTAAAGGCAATGCACTTCGACTCCCGGCGCCGTCAAGTTGCTGCTGTGCTTCACCGTGTCCTGGTACATCTCCCAACCATCCATGAATTGCAAATCCCTGCAAATTTATTGTAATTGCAATTTAAGTTATCGTTAAAATTAACGATTTCACCTGAAGTAATCTTCGATATTGCTCAGGGAATAGTTCTTCTTATCGGTCTGCACCAGAACTTCATTCGGTTTCCAATAAATGGTGGATGGCATCAGCCAAGCCAAACTCGGGTTAGTGATTTGCTCCTGCTTCATTACTTTGGCGTTGAGCACGTAAGAGCCTAAATCGTCGCCTGAAATTCATTGAGATTAAATTATTTTTATTTAATAATTCACTAAGAGCATTGAATTACCAACTGCATAGACTTTAACGGCCTTAACGGAGCCTCCCCAAGCGCCGCTCAAAGAAACCAAAGACTTGATGTATTTGTTCTTCCACGATTGAGTCTGCAGGTTCAAAAAGTATAATGACATTGGGCCACCCATCGAGTGGGCCAGAAGCATCACCGGTGCTTTCCCATTTTCCGTGTAGGTCTCTTCAACCAGTTCTTTCAGTTTAACAAAGTACTCCTGATTTTCATCTGAAAGCATCGATTGAATGAGTTGTAAGGAAATTAATATTTTGATTAATTACTGGGAGCTTTGCGGAAATCGAACGGTGCTCCTTTAATTGAGACATTCCTCTCGTAACCTACAGTGACGAGCATGTTTGCGATGTCTTTAAAGTAGGCGCCTGAGGATGCGTGGCTGGGGTCCAGCCACTCCACTGTTTCGGAGCCCCCAAAACCTGGGACCCTTGTTTCGACACCGGGCATGTTCTCTGTCTTCCTTGTGACATTGTTGTAGACCAGCTTGATGTTGTCGACCCAGCAATCGATGACGAGCGGCACAAGCTGCTCCATGTTCAGCCAGATGTTGTAAAAGTCCTTGGTGGTCTTCTGGCATATGTAGTGCACTGTTGTTGTTTTGTTAATCTTTGCATCCAGTTGGGAGCCACCATCTCCAGGCACAAGGATGATCGGGTTCAAAGCACCGAAACACGCCGGTATCAACGCCACCAGAACTAACTTAAGCAACATTTTTTTCTTCTCGCAACCTTTAACTTATAATAAATACATCGAAGTGATACTGGGGCTTCGATAGCTCCATGTTTCCCCTCACAAATACGAGTATAAACATTGGGTATACGCGTGCGCCGTCTTCGGATTTGAACCATTTGAACCGATCGTACGATGCGCGCATCTGCACGCTCTCCTCTCTGACCCTTAATAGATACATAATCAGTTGAAATCCTAAAAATATTCTTTATATGTCTCTTGGCACATGCATCTACTGCATCTACGTTCTACATTTGCGACTGCTGCAGACAATCCGTTTTTTATTATCAAAGAAAGAAAAATAAACATTATCGTTCATAGAGCAGCAATAATAAACATTACAAAATTATAATGTTATCGTTGAATTGGAATTATCTGTTGAGTAATGAGTTGATGCGCCTTAAAATGAAGTTGTTTTTCATCGATCTCTCGATCGATTGCAAAATTGGTTCATTGCCGTAACTATCTACGTCATTATGTTAAAAACTATCGTGTTTTTTTCGCTGTGTAACATAACATAAAAGTGTATAAATAAACAACAAGTGAAGCAAAACGTGCTGCCTTATAATTTCACAAAAATGACTAAAATCTACTCTAAATACTAATTCTTCTGTACTTAATTCACAAGTTAACGTTCATTCATAATATTTAGAGTTTGAATTAAGTTAAGTACACTTAAATTATTGAACAATTAAGGTTTTGATACTCAATCAAGATATTAATTACACAATTTAACAAATGTCGTCAAATATAAAGATTTCATCATATAATTTTGATGTTTTGTTCATACACAGTTTGATTGTGATATAATAATAATAATTTCACGTAAAAGAATGTTCCCAAATAAGAATAATAAAGATTTTAAAACAATTTAATATAGGCAACTTATTTAACACTCAATAAAATTATATTTATGTAATTTATACTTACTTTTAAGAAGATGTACACATGTAAATGAATGGTTATAGATAAGGTAAAAATGCAAGTGTTATTTAACAAAAAGACAACATTTATTCAATTTTCTTGTTCAATATATCAATAACTTGTTTATGTACAAAGTATTCCTCTTGTAATCATTATCATTATATATATATAGTTTTTTTTTTCATACGATCTTTCCCCCCGCTTAATATAACAAATAAACAGAATAATAATAATAAGAGACAACGTAACGTGGAGAAATTGTACATAGTTCGATAAATATGGATGAGAAAACAATGATTTCGCAAAGATATGTTTTAATAATTAAAGCATTTGTTCGTAATTAACGTAAGCACACTTTAAAATAATTTTGTTCTGTTTCAGCTGGAATTTCGCGTTATACACACTATGTAATAATAAAAAGAAAAATGGTTTATGACCTATAGATGTTGTAAAAGCCGTATATTTAGAATACAATTGAGAAACTAAGACAATGTACGGTTGTAAAGAAAGTTCCGGTCTTCGTATACATAGGCAGCCAACAAAGCAGCTGAAACTGAAGCGGCGTGGAAACTGAGCGCTGTTGTAATTACAAACGATAAATTATAGTGTGAAGGAAGAAAGGAAAGAATATTTTCAATACATTCGAATATAAATATATATATAATACATAGGAAGTCCGATGATTCTTTTGTTTCTTTCGTATAAGAATTTTGTCGCGAAAATGTTCAGCGTTTTCAAAGTTATTTTTGTTTCGTCTATATTTATATATAATACAAAGTGAGAAGTGTAATATTTACAAGATTTCCTCGAAGCGGAAGTTACAGGGTGAGTCGTGTGCGAAAGAACGGCCTCTGTCAAGTAGTTCACAGAAGCGACGTGAGATGTCTCCGACCCGCAACACGCGTACATTTGTTACAGCAACCTCGCTTACACGAAACAAAACGATAACAGTTTAAAAAAAAAAAAATATCGAAACGGTTGTAGTGTATCAAAAATTATGTCGTTCGTTGAAAAAGGAAATTACGTATAGGTGTGATGTGCGATCAACAATTCAGAGGAATTCACAAGAACATTGAATTAAATGAAGGTAAATTGAATCAAGTAAATTTAATAATGTCACAGTAGCATTTTAAAGGTTAGTTACACAAAATCTAAAGATGGCGCTGTAATTCATATTTGAATTAATAACACTGTTAGTTTTTTTTTTGTTGTTCAAGTTGGTAAAATGATTCCGTACAAAATTGAAGCAGAAAATTTCCCTAAATTTATTAATTGAATTTATTTGACCGCGCATCACAGATATACATATAGTATACATTATATACAATACATTCGATTTGTTTGTTTGTCTTGTTTAATATATATATATATATATATAATATATTTGTTTCTTTATATACAATCATTTTTAAATACTTTTTTTTGTCAATGTATAATAATTTTTTTTATATATATATATATATTTATATAAGTAGATTTCGTAAACAATAAGGATAATCGATAAAATATACAGGGTGTCCGTGCAAGGACGATTCGAGTACAAATTAAACAATCGTATACTATGCGTTTTTAGAGTAGTAGTCCGTGGATGGAACAAACGAATATCGATGAGTCTTTTCATTTGTTCGATTTTATCGCCGTTACATGCAGCTTATTTGTTTTTTTTTTATATATTTATAAATGTAATATATGTGTATTTGCATGTATGAAGTAGCATGAAAATATAACAAACGTAAAAAAAACCTATAGTTTCTTCATATTTATATATACAGGTCAGTCATCGAAGTGTTTCACAATTTTCGTTTTTCGTTTTCTGTAACTGTTTTTGGCAAGTAGACTAGCACATTTGAGATCCTCTTGAGCACAAAATCGCAAAGTTTTCCATTCCGCACTGCACTTTAATTCACTTCGTCTCATCTCAACTCAACTCAACTCACCTCACCCGACCGACTTGTCCTTACTATGATTAATATTAACATTATTATTGCACGAGATAGATATAGAGAAAGACGACAATGTTGAACGCTTGTTGCTGCTGTTGTTGTTTTTGAATGATGTTGATGTCCTAGAGGAGACGTCGGGTGCGTCATTGCGGAGGCTCGAAGGTCTCTGAGTCGGGACTGCCGTAGCCGCTGGAACCGTCGTCCCCGCGATGGGTACTACTGGGCGGCCGCTGTTGCCCTGTTGCCGCCCCCGAGCTCTTCTCGCTGTAACAGGATGGAGACGTCAATTGTTGTTGTTGTTGGAGGTGGTGGTGATGTTGTTGTTGTTGTAGTTGTAGTTGGAGGTGGTGGTGGTTGTGGAAATGATGCTGGTTGTTGTTGCTGTTGTTGAGGTTGGGATGAGCGGGGGCGGTGATGGTATTGGTGGTGGTGGTGTTGGTACGATTGTGTTGGTTCAAGTGGTGACCGTTTAGTGTGTTGTCTCCTGCTGGCTGAAAGAAATCAACCAACTTGTAGGACACTCAAGAACAACAAAACAACAAGATCTATACATTACTACATTACTACTCACTAAACTATTTATACCAAAAGACAACATTTTCAATATTACAAAGCATTTTCATTTCCACCCGTACCAACTTCAATGAACATAATTGACATTACACATAATAAAAGTGTTAATGTCAGTGACAGTTACAAAGATTTCAATTTTATCAATGACAGTTAGAAAGTTGAGGAGGAAGTTAAAAAATTAAGATTTGACAGAAAGAGGTTAATAAAATTAATTTGTCAAAGACAGTTACAAAGGTTACGAAGAGGTTAAACAATTAAATTTTCGATTGACAAGTTTACAAGGTTAGGTTTTGCCTCAAGGTAATGTTCTTTGTATTCGTATTGAAAATGTTTCTTCTCTATGTTGAAGCATATCAAGGGATGTTGTTTAACACGTTAAGGACGGCGCTTTTCGGATTTGATACACAGTGTCGGTTGATCATAACACTGTGCGCAATATGTAACAACTTTATGAAAATTTCAATATTTTTCCCACAATTGTTATAAATTGCTTCAATATCATTAAAAAAATGTATAAGAAAAATTTAAACGTTTAAAGGTTATAATTGACGTAAGATATTTGACGTTTCTCTCAGTCCATAGGCGTCCACGAAAATTTTTTTGGGGGCAGGCAAC